ATTTGCATTGTAAACATTAAATATAAGTTAAAAGGGGATTACTTTTTATTTCATTTTCATCATATTAAGGTTTTAGTTATGATACTCCCAAAATCATTCAGCATAAATCTGCTGATTTTTACCAAAATTCAGCGCAGAAATAGCAAAAAATGTCCGCAAATTCCACTGATGGCAGATAGACATTACAATGCTGAGCCAACATTGTGATCCTCCGCCCCACCCCTATCGCAGTAACAAAAAAATACACACTTAGGCTCCGTTTACACTAATACATCTTAGTTTTAAAATGGCATTTTAGAACGAAAACGATCCACGTCCACACTGGCGTTTCACCTGGCATTTCTGAAAAGCCCTCCTTCCACACTATACCTCTAAAAACGCACATCACGTGACCACACACACACTCACTCAATCATGCTCCAGCAGTGCTTGTTGGACAGTTTATCAAGGATGTACACCTGGATCGCATCTCACTATAGTTAGTAAAGGTGATGTTTAATTAATCGTGTCTCTGTCTTTTTAATCTATCAGTAGTATTGCCAGATGTAGCTGACTGATTCCAGCCCAAAAACTATTCAAAACAAAAAAAAAAAAAAAAAACAATACTGTTGGTTGGTTCCTGTTGGTTGTGCAACTTTTTCGCCAACCAAGTTTATTAACGCCATTATAAGGACACAGATCACTCTGCCTGTTCATGCCAGAGTCGGAAAAAGTAATTGACAGGTGTTAATTTGTGTGTAACTCATCTTTATGTACTGTTGATTTGGTTATGGGTAAGGTATTTGAAACGGTAGGCTACAAATTTAATTAATCTATTGCGATGTTTCACATTAGACATTGTACGATGCCAAATTGGTCGACATCACCCAACCCTAACACAGTGCACTTAATGGAGCTGGTGATGTCACTGTGAGGGGTCGGGTTATGAGTGGGGAAAGGTGTGGGCATTAAAAAGCATTGCATGGAGCTCAGATTGCACCACCAGTTCTAAGAATTACTTAATATTAATATTTCTAGACTTAAGATTAAGGCTCGTTTTGCGCATTCACGCCAAGGGGTAGCGGTGTCCCAATTCTCTTTAGCTTGAAGGCGTAGGGCTAAGGGAAAGGGGTTAAATAGCCCGTCGACGGAAGATTTTTCAGGACCACACTCGAAACCAAGGGGTACGAAAATTTCCAAGAATACACCTGCCACAATGGCAGTATTGCGGAACCTGGAGATAAGTAAGGAGATCCACAAATTAGTATTATTGTCATTATTACAAATTTTTACGACAAACTAAACACGTTTTAATATATATTAATAATGGCGTTCATGTTTTACAGTCATGCTTTTTAAAAAAAAACTTGAAAAAAACCCGCTAACTTTTGCGATCTATAATCCATAATCATAACTCCTGTATAGCAGTTCCACACCATTCTGACACTCGATGAAACTCGAAAAACCTGTCAGTTAAGTCTAGTGGCTGAGAATGAGCTTTTTACAGTGTCTGCAGTGTCTGTTAATGTTGTTTTCGTGTGTTTACATAGATGAATATGGCCACGGTGTCAATGCACTGTACAGTTATGATCTTATTGCCACATTAGATCGTTATGATAACATAATATATGCCTTGATTCCTTGAAGATAAAAACCAAAAAATAGCACAACTGGAGTAACTACAGCAGTCGGGATCGGTTTTCATATGAAGCATGAGATCACGATGACGTGTGCAGGTGCTGTAGTGCTGTCCCAATTCTCAAGGGTACATTTTAAAGCCCTTCCCCTTAACCCTTGGTTGTAAGGGCTAAGGGGAAGGGGTACAAAAATGGCATTGGGATTGGGCATAAGTGGGATTTATAAAGGTTCTTAAGTGTTAAGACTTTGTCTCAGCTTCTAAATTATTTAGGAGTGTTTGGGATTTATCTTAACCTAATTAGGAGTAACAAGATGGCAGCAGAGAGGAGGGGATCATGCACCTTTCAAGAACAAAAGAATATGTTACAACTAAATGATGGCAGGGAGTTGCTAAAACGTTTGATCATGAAGGTATTCTTTTTGTAACTAATCTAGTCAGAAATGCAATAAGTTTTCACATAATACGAAACAATGCCTTAACTGCAGAAATGAATTTAATAATCACTCTGTTTTTTGGCAACTAGAAAGATGCAGCAGTGTACCAGCGATGACTAATGCCGTGTTCAGACTGCATGATTTTAGCCCCGATTTTGACTCGTCAACAGGTTTTGAGAAATCGGCGTTAAATCCCTGCTGAAAAAAACAGCTTAAACCAGCCTAAGCTGGTTGGCTGGTTTTAGCTGGTTGACCTGGCTAGTTTTAGAGGGGTTTTGGCCACTTCCAGGCTGGTCTTAGCTGGTCAGGCTGGGAGATGACCAGCTAAAATCAGCTTGATCAGTCTAGTCAGGCAGGAAGCCCAGCCAAAACCAGCTATATCCAGCTTAAACCAGGCTGGTCAAACTGGTTTTAGCTGGTCATTTTCCAGCCTGACTAGCTAAGACCAGGCTGGAAACCAGCCTGGAAGTGGCCAAAACCCCTCTAAAACCAGGCTGGTCAACCAGCTAAAACCAGCCAACCAGCTTAGGCTGGTTTAAGCTGTTTTTTTTCAGCAGGGATGCCTGAAATCACAGGCAAATCGGTGCTCGTTTACGTGAGTGACAATCACAAAGTATGAACTATCGAAGATCTGAGATCTGAGAGAATCGCGGATGAGTCGCCGATGCCAGTGAGATTTTTGCCGTGCTAAATATCTGGAACTGTCGGCGATTCAAATCATGTCGTGTGAAATGAGTTTTGACTGAAAATAACATTGGCGATCGCCTACAGCCAATGAGAGAGCAGTATTTACTTGTGTGTGTGTGTGTACCTGCATCCCAGCGGGTGGTTGAGGGAGAAGTTAAAAGCGATCATTTTCAGGTTATTTGGACCCAAGAAATGGATTAAAAACTAGTGGAGGTGTGACAGGAGCATTCGTGACTGTTTGACGTGTCATACAGAAAGTTTAAAAAGAAAGTTGAGGAGAAATTGCTAATTCCCTTCAAACCCAGGTGAGCAAATATGTACATTTTCTACCACATTAAAGGCTTCTTTCTCATCATGTAGTAACAACAAAAGATATACTACGTGTTTTTATGTGTGAGATGTAGTTTGGACAAAGTTGTCGTGGATTCTTCCTATTGTAAAATCATGCAATGTGAAAGTCCCTGTCGCCGATCCACTTTGCAGTGTTAACAAAGCAGGGACAAAACGCTAGCCCAGATAGTCATGCAGTGTGAAAACATCTGTGACACGACTACTTTGAAAATTATGCAGTCTGAACTCGGCATTAGGCCTATCACAATCCAATTTTGACACCTCTACGGCTGTGACTTCATCCTTGCAGGTTCCTAATAGGCTGATTCAGAGGTCAAGGGCGGCCATTTTGTGCTTTAATCATTGTAGTCCTTGATTTACAACACTTATGTCAGAACTTAAGAATCAGTCTCAAACTTTTACTGAAAGTTGCTTTTAGATTCTTTATAAGTGTCCTACTCTCAAACAAAGTCCTACTTTTTAATAAGAATTTTTTGAAATGTCAGTTTAAGACTTAAGAGCCTTTTTAAAAGTTTAAAACATACGGCCCCAGACCCCACTCTTTTAGCCTTCAGCATTTTCTGCTCATTGTTAATGGGGGGTGGGGGAGTGTTGTGTAGCACAGATTCAACCTGTAATGGTCAACTATGGTGCAATGGTTTTGTATGCAGTCAAACTCAGCCAGCTCAGTGTTTCTCAGAATTTAATTAGTACAGAAAATCTTGCAAATATGGTCGCTGACAATAAACAATAGCAGGACAATTTTATTGTCAGTCATTCAGGTCAAATGGTCTAGCCCTTCTGTATAGTTTCAGTAGAATCTACCATTCCGATAACTTCAAGTTCATTACAAAATAAAGCATTTGAAATAAATAAATATATTTATATATAGATTTATAATTATACATTATATGTAGAAAATAAATATATTGTACATCTCATAAATAGGTTTGTCCATATTTACACGTCTTTCACTTACATTTTAATAATGTTCCTGGCAACCCGAACATTATAAGTCACTCTTTGTCAGATGACCAAAAGTCTCTGTCGCACACTTCAGCAAACACCATACATTTCCCTGCTTTCTTTGAAAGTGGTTACTTGTTTCAAACAAAAATGTATGTTTTGACCATCTCTTTAAATATGATCTGCGTATGCCTCTCAGATCTTTCACCAAGACAAAATGAGTGTTTCCATTAATATCACTTTTTTCACCATCTCACAATTGCAAATTTGATGGTTTCAGCAGAAATGGGTCATTGTTCTTCAAATTTTTTTCTCCTATTAAGTGCCCTTAAAGATACATTTCATTTGAAAGCCCTTGCTTTGCATTTGTCCTACAGGAAGGTCTGGGTTGTACTCCCCATGTCCATCTTCTTGGTAAGTGCTGCGTCATGACCTTTCAACATGAGTTCGGCCCCAGGGTCACCACACTGGACTTTTATCATTACACTCAACAGTTTTACTTCCTAGCTACTGGTGACAATTTGCTCAACAAATTAAGGTTTAAAGTAAACCCGAGCTTTGTTTTCCAGTGACAACATGCTCAAAATGTGGTCCACTTTACAGAGGAGTGGCTCACACAATGACTGTCTAAAGAAAGGGCGATTGCATGACACATGTCATTACACCCTGAAGTCAACACCTCTTCCACAAGACATCTTTTGGCACCAGCTTTGGATGCAGGAATGTTCCCTCTTCTCTGTAGTTTAAAACCCATTAAGTAGAGGAAACGGAGCCATCCAGGACACACACGTACTGTTTATCTCAATCACCATTGGAGAGGGCCTCCTCATTTTGGACCAGAACCCAAATATAAACAGCTGTGAGACGAGAGAAGTAGGGTCTTGTATTTCTTTACGTTCTTCGTCTTTCCCATCCCGCACTCCTACTGTAACTCTCCAACCCAGGGACTCCAATGGATGCTCTGGTCACCTATGCTGGAACAATTCTCTGTAAGCTTGGGGTATCTTTTCTATCTCGACGGGCCTGGGCAGGAAGTGAGTCAACTTCTGATGCTTTTTAGTCCTGCTGCCTTCCCGAGGCGAGCCGTCCTTGTTCAGAGCCACGTAATAGTACCTCCCAGTGTCTGCATGCTTGAAGAGTGTCGACGCATACGTGTTGTACCAGTTTTCTTCAAACTGCTCACGGAAGACACACTCAGCCGTCAGCTTCTTCTGCAACCAGAAAAAGACAAACGAAAACTTAGCTTAGATTATCTGGACACTTGATATACACAGCACTTGTAGTATTAGTGGAAAGATCCACAGTTATGAATAAGCTTCACCCACACCAGGGGTGTCCAGTCATGCTCTTGGAGGCTCACCTGCTTAACCAAGTTTAGCATCAAATTTTCTGGCAGGTGTGTGGGAGCAAGATTAAATGAAGTCACCCAGGGCAAAACAGTTGAGTTTTAGCATATTTGGATCCATTCAGACAATCTCTGGGTCTGGCGGGAGCACTATTAGCTTAGCTAAGCATAAATCACTGAATCAGATTAGATCAGAGCATCTTGCTTGATAATTTTCTTATTTAAAGTTTGACTCATCTGTAGTGCACTAACAAACTGTGTACTAAGAAAAGTTATTATTTTTTGAGTCAATATGGCTAGGAACTATACTTTCATTGTTATATTACGCGGCCCTTGACAATAGTCCTCAGCTAGGTAAATAGGTAACAGCACTATATACTATAATTTATGCTATGCTAAGCTAAGCTATATGTGCTCCCCCCCAGACCCTGAGATCCGCCAAAATGTTTGGCTATACTGTTCCTAAGGTATGTGTAAGTATTTATTATTTACAATTTTTTTCTCTTTTTTACATTTTTTTTAGGACAACAGTATATCCAGCAGAAAAGCTTTCCAAAAATGTCAATTTAAATTGTAAAAATGCCATTTTAAATTGAAGATGCTGTTTTAAATTTTAAAGATGTGGTTTTAAACTGTAAAGATGCCATTTTAAATTGTAAAGATTAAATTTTATATGGTAAAAATGTTGTTTTAAATAGTAAAGATGTCATTTTATATGGTAAAGATGCCGTTTTAAATTGTTAAGATGCTGTTTTAAATTGTAAAAATGCCGTTTTAAATTGTAAAGATGTCATTTTATATGGTAAAAATGTCGTTTTAAATTGTAAAGATGTTATTTTATATGGTAAAAATGTTTTAAATAGTAAAGATGTCATTTTATATAGTAAAGATACCGTTTTAAATTGTAAAGATGCTGTTTTAAATTGTAAAAATGCAGTTTTAAATTGTAAAGATGTTATTTTATGTGGCAAAAATGTCTTAAATTGTAAAGATGTCATTTTATATGGTAAAAAGGTCTTTAAAATTGTAAAGATGTCATTTTATATGGTAAAGATGCCATTTTAAATTGTAAAGATGCTGTTTTAAATTGTAAAGATGTCATTTTATATGGCAAAAATGTTTTTTAAATTGTAAAGATGTCATTTTATATGGTAAAGATACTGTTTTAAATTGTAAAGATGCTGTTTTAAATTGTAAAGATGTCGTTTTATATGGTAAAAATGTTGTTTTAAATTGTAAAAATGTCATTTTATATGGTAAAGATGCTGTTTTAAATTGTAAAAATGCCGTTTTAAATTGTAAAGATGTTATTTTATATGGCAAAAATGTCTTAAATTGTAAAGATGTCATTTTATATGGTAAAAATGTCTTTAAAATTGTAAAGATGCCATTTTAAATTGTAAAGATGCTGTTTTTAAATTGTAAAGATGCTGTTTTAAATTGTAAAGGTGTCATTTTATATGGCAAAAATGTCTTTTAAATTGTAAAGATGTCATTTTATATGGTAAAGATGCCGTTTTAAATTGTAAAGATGCTGTTTTAAATTGTAAAGATGTCATTTTATATGGTAAAGATACTATTTTAAATTGTATAGATGCTGTTTTAAATTGTAAAGATGTCGTTTTATATGGTAAAAATGTCGTTTTAAATTGTAAAGATGTCATTTTATATGGTAAAGATACTGTTTTAAATTGTAAAGATGCTGTTTTAAATTGTAAAAAGGCCGTTTTAAACTGTAAAGATGTCATTTTAAATAGTAAAGATGTATTTTTAAATTATGAAGAAACATTTGTAATTGTAAAGAGACATTTAAATATATATATATATATTTTTTAAACATAAATCACAATATCGTGCAACTGTGCTAATTTTGCCAAGTTTAAATTCTAAGTTTTCATACCGTCAGAATCTAATACTGGCCCACGTCTATACCTAGCACAACAAAAGGGTACCAAAAGGTGGAGCAAAATGCGCAGCTGAACGCTATTGGTTTACAGAGATACAGCACTAGCTTGTGCACAAGTCAGGAGAATGAAAACAAAGGAAGCACCATTTTTAAATACACAGTCGAGACATTACACCGTAATAATATATACATATAATAACGAGCCGTGGTCAACCCATGCTCAAACATAGCAAATGATTCTTTCAGCAACCTAAAACATGAAAAAACTGCCATGTTTAATTATTATCGTCGCCTTTTGAACTATTCAGAACTCAGAATGACGGAATTAATTTCTAACAAGAGGTTGATCTGAAGTTCTAATTAAAGCTTGTTCATAGAAAGTTTGGTAATGATCATTTATACACAAGTTTATTTGTGTAAAGCATCTGTTTTGTGAGAAGTGCTTCTCGTATGATATGTGAACAAAAACTTGGCGCTCCAATCTGCGTAAACCATTTAAATATCTGAATCAACGCGGGAAACTATTGGTCATAACATCTAAATGGTAATCTACGATCTGTCCATCAAGAGAGAAAGATATCTGACCACATGTTTAAGCACTGACATGCCCCCCCTCCCATTTCCAGACCTCCAGATGCTCTGGAAAGCATGAGGGTGTGAAGACGTGGTACTGTTCCTTTCTCACAGCGCACAGTTTACCCTTGTCACCATCGCACAATGTGTGGGTGGAAAATATCTTGAGGCCAGACAGCAGGTGCTCGCAGCACCAGAGAAGGGAAAGTCATTACGGGCAAGCTTTGCAGTTTACACCCAAAATCATTCTTCAAAACTGTTAACCTTTTTGTCTGCTTCCCCTATGATGCAACAAGCTCTCTCGCACAAACACGGCAGCTTGAAAGAGTCTGTGTGGGCTGCTACTACTACACCACTGACAGAACTCCATGAGCAATGACTTCGGGTTAAGCAGGTGAACATTCGCTGGCTGACTACACTGATGAGAACAATAGAAGACGCTGGGGCTACATCATGTTTCCTGCCAAGGAACAGTCATGCAATGGGCCAGGTTTGAGTCTTGGTGTCAAAATGATACATTTAAAATTAGTGTTTAGGACAAAGTCAGCTTTAAAACTTCTGTTAAATCGTTTACAGTGTATAAATGGAATGTTAAAGATGCAAATATGTAATATAGGACTGCTTAATTGTATCAGCTACTAATTACTGATACATTTTTTGGGTTACTGATAGATTCTGTGCCATGTCAGTAAGCTGTAAATCAAGGGTCTCAAACTCGCACCCCGTGGGCCAATTGCAGCCCGCGAGATGATAGTTTGTGGCCCCCACCTTAATTTGAAAGTTTAATGTTAGTGCGGCCCGTGAGTTTGATATGTATAGCAATTTACAGTGTTGTGTGCGGAGCTAAACGAACCCACCTATCACAGTGGGGTATATGGCTCTCAGGGGCGGGACATCTGCTGGATTTGACGCGAGCAGAGAAACATTTCTCAGTGCAAGTGACTGCAGCGTTCCCATGGAGTGTTTTCCTTCTTGTCTGCTAACTGTCTTGTTTCTATTGGGCACACTCGAACGTTCATCTCAGCGCGCTTCATTCACAACACTTCAAAAAAACTGTTTTATGTTTCAGCCTAGCGAGACATTATACGTAGATTAATGTATATAAATCAGCGCCTAATTTAAGTTGGTTCTTGTCGGATCTTGTTCCGGGAAATGTCAGATATTTGTATTTTTATTTATTTTAATTGATTCAGCATTAACTTGTGCGCAGTGACTACCTGTATGTGTCATACCTGCCAACACTCCCGTTTTTCCCGGAAGTCTCCCATATTCCAGACCCATCTCCTATTTTGTCATTTCTCCTGGAATACTCCTGGAATTACACCCCCTTCCCCTGGTCCTAAGGTGTTTGGTACAATCTATGACACCCCCGGATCACCGACTTTTCCAATGGCAGCCAGTGCCCAGTACATAGGACACACAAAGCACCCCCCCAAGGCTCTTCTCCTCCCTCCCCCCATTTTTCATTTTCCAGCCTCTCTAAATTCTCTGAAATTTACTGGACACAGATACCACCCCCCCCCCCCCCCCCCCCCCCCCCACACACACAGACTTTTAGGTTTTTCCAGCCTCTGTAAAGTACTGGACATGTCCTCTTCCTTGACCCCAAAACACCCCTCACCCTCCAGTCTCCCAGATTTTTAGAGACAAGCGTTGACAGGTATGGTATGTGTATGTGTGTGTGTGTGTGTGTGTGTGTGTGTGTGTGTGTGTGTGTGTGTGAGAAAGAGAGAATGAGTGCCAGTGTTGCCAACTATTTCCATTGAAAAGTACCTAAAGCCTGCCCGAAAAGTAGCTTAATGTTGCCAGATTACGTTGCACACTAATTTACATATCAGTGACATCATCACATAGAAGCGTAAGCCTGTCATGTCTCTTTTTATTGTAACCTTTACTTATATATATATATATATATATATATATATATATATATATATATATATATATATACATATATATATATATATATATATATATATGTATATATATATATGTATGTATATCTTGTTTAACTTATTGCATTTTTTTTTTCATTATCATTTTATCCACCTGGCATCCTCTATGTTCCTTCTATAGTTCCTAATGTTTCATTATGCTGTTTAAAATTACTGTTCAATAAAATAAATAAATAAATAAATAAAGCCCGTTATGTTTCTACTCTCAGAGGCGCCTTGTATTATATTATATTAAAACATTACAACCAGATACACAATAAATAGGTTCCTATTAACATATTACTTTGCGTGATGACATGATTGCGTAATCGCCACTTAAAACTACACCTTTATGTAGAATACAAAATAATTAATGTTTTCTCAAATTGACTGAACATCTCAGCAAAAACTTTATTTGAAATATGTCCATTTAGATTTGAATGAAAAATAGAGTTGACTATATTTTTGTAACTATTGTATACTATTTGTAAAAGTAATACAGTTTTAGATAAGAATTTTTTATTTTTAAATATAAGACTGATTATAAACAGTTACATACTTTTAAACAACATCTGGATGTAATGTTTTAATATAATATAATACAAGGCGCCTCAGAGAGTAGAGACATGATGGGCTTACCCTTGTCAGATACTTAAAGATGACGTCACTGATATGCAAATTCGTGTGTGACATCATCTGGCAACATTTAGCTACTTTTCAGGCAGGCTTAAGCTACTTTTCATTGGAAATAGTTGGCAACACTGATTCATACGCGGCAGGACAAAAGAAAAGTAAGGAACTCAATGCAGCCTGTAGTCGTCTGCAGTCACAAATCGACACCTGTCCATCGGCAAGAAGAGTTTCCGGTAACCCGGACCAATTATAGGGTCACACCGTTATTTGTGGGTCATTTGCATCGCTCTACCTGCATTGTATTTGCATTGCCTCACACAATGAGCATTACATATATTTCTATATGATGTACAAGTAGTCAAAACAAATGACAACAGCACAGTGTTGCTTTCCTGTAACAACAGCACGGCAGATAACAGTGTCAAATCAATATTATTATTAGTACTAATATTTATTACTGATTGTTTTATTTTCTTATTAATGTTTAATTTGTTTATTTTTCAGTTTATTTTGTGTTTAAAAATTCCAATCTTCTTAAATCTCTTATACAAAATAAGATAAAAAAATAAACAAATTAAAAGTTAATAATTAATAATATAATTAATTTCTTTTGGAAAACCTGTTGCGGCCCAGCCTCACCCAGACTTGGCCTCCAGCGGCCCACAGGTAAATTGAGTTTGAGACCCCTGCTGTAAATACAAATACTGTAGATACTGCTCTGTGATTTACACTTGTCTTACTACCAGTGAAGATGTTTCCTTTATCTTTATGCAACTGAAATACCCTGAACTCAAATCTGTTCAAGAGTCTTCAGGTGGTTTGCTGTGCGACTGCATGCTGACTTGCATTTACAATCTGATTTAATGGGACGTTATCGCATTACACGTGAAGTCATCTCTTCTTGCTTTAAATAGGTTTGTTTTAATTCAGGGTCCACAGAAACGTACTGGGGGCCCCGGCTTATTGTCTCTGGAAATCTGATAGCTTGTTTCTCTCGCAAGCATGGCAAAGTCTGCAGAGGGGGAGGCCAGGCGCATTTTCCTATATATGGTTCTCTATGCTAGCATACGAAAAGTCAGTCAAAACCAGCTACAAGCTTTCATCTCCTGGTCTCCGTTACAATTAGCACTCCAGCAGATTACAGCGTGGTCTTCATGCAAGAGACCAAGAGCTCTCAGCTCGTATATCTACGATATGTGGGTGTGTATACGTTACATGCTTCATGTGTCTCAGGGAAATATGTAAATATTTTAAGTATGGAGTGAAATGAAGAGGCAGCGTTTTTTTTTTAGGTTGAATGTGCTGTCTGAAAGGTTGTTTTTTTAGTGGAAAGTTACAAAGACAAAAACAAGGTGAGCCACACACAGACCCACTCTGATCAGAGGTCAGGGCTTGCAGCAGTGGAAACACTGCTTGTTTTGTCTGGTTAAGTTGTACATCTACATCATATGGGGAACAGACTATGAGCTGGTGGGTGGGTTGTCGTTTGCTCCTCATTCCAGCCCTGACTGCATTCCTATTGGAAGACTTAATAGAGCAGAACCTTCTGTTGGTGGATATTGTTTAGTGTGTGTGTGTGTGTGTGAGAGAGCACTGCAGGAGTTTGACTTACCGACCCATAGAGTTCACCTTTTTCATTCATCCCCAGATAGAGACCAGCATCCACGCCTCGTATGCTCACCAACCCGACGGCCAGACTGATAAACTCCAGAATACCTGCCACACAACAGCACACGTCAGACAATGACCAGACACATTTACTACTGCAGCACAGCTGTACGTCAGCAGAGAAAATATTTCGAAGATGTTCTGTCTCACCCCCATTTTCCTAGCATCAAGAAACAAGCTAAACCATCCTAAAGTGGTTGTTAGTTCAGCCTGACGGAGCTAGTGGTTAGAGGGTTGGCCAGCTACTGAGCTGACAAATGAATGAAACCCTACCTTAACCATCAAAGCATGTCAACCATCTAGCCCCTGCTGAGAAATCCAGCTTAAACCAGCCTAGGCTGGTTTAAGCTGTTTTTTTCAGTAGGGGCAGTAGCTGTATTCTGTTGTCCTAGCTCTATAAATCCGCATTGGGTTAAGCCTCTCCTCGCTATTATTGCAGCATCTCTTATCTAATTAACTGGCTTATGTTTTTATATACAAACCAATATTGTGTTAAGGTATCCCCATAGCCATCCATTTGTGTCCGTTTTCAGGATACAAGCTCAATCTTGGCCAAAACCAGCTGTTCACACGCTTTTGATTAAAGACTAAAGCAAAAACTACACCTTTGTGGCCTTTTACCACCACCTGGACCGAGTATGTTGTGATTTGGATGCCAAATGACGACACAGAAAACTCTCTGAAGCTGGGTTAAGCAGAAGCACATTTCATATGCGTTTAATCAAAGACACTGCCAGCTTGCAGCATTACCGACAAACGGCTAGCAATTGCCAGAAGGATGCCAGAAACATGACCGCGGACCACCCAATCCAGTAAAGGCAGCTTGTCTCAGCCTAAAAACAAGCATTACAACTGGATTCCACAGTGGTCATGCTTTAATTTAGAGCTATTCCTGTTTTCTGAGCGAGGGCTGCACCTGCACAATGATTACTGATCAGAGCGATGTCAAAAATTCTCATGTCTGGACTCTGCTATCATTTGTTTATCATTGTAATACCAAGCACTTCTTGACTGATTTATTAGTGCTGTAATTAGTAGTGTCTGTGCCTGCGTCGGCCGGAGTCCTTTGAACACATTTTCAGAGAAATAACAGCCTCACGCTGTGAGCTTGTTTTCCTCTGCGGAGAAGCACCTGCATCCCTTGACCCTGCTTTGGAGTTCGCCAGGGGCAATTCCAGTGTGAGTAGGAGAGATGTGCTGCTCTTGCCTAATAGGTGGACTGATATACTGTGCTCCCAATAAGATTTGGACACCTAAAGTGCCGGGAAAATCCGAATTTTATTGCATTCAATAAAAATTAAAATGTCTGCACTCAAATGCCCCTGGATATTTTTTTTTGCTTGTCTGTATTTTTTATTTATTTAATTTTTATACATTTTTAGCATTTTAAATGTCTAACATTTTTCCTTTTATAGCTATTTAAGAGTTTGTGCATGTGCTAGGCTATTTATTCTTACGTTATATTAATTTAACACTATTGACATTTAAAGTGCTCAGCATATATGAGCACACTCCTCTCAAATCTATCTTTTAAATTTATATTTTTTAATAGGAAGCTACACTCTCAGAAATAAAGGCACGCAAGCTGTCACTGTGGTTGTACTTTTTCAAAAGATACACATTTGTACTTAAAGGGTCCATACTGGTACCTCAAAAGTACATATTAGTACTTAGAAATTTTAAGAGGAACACTTTTGTACTTTTAAAGTACTAATATGTACCCTTGAGGTATCAATAATATGGACGTTTTAGGTACAAATGTGTACCCTTTGAAAAGGTACCACCCCAGTGACAGTTCGCTTACCTTTATTTCTGAGAGTGTATACAATATTATATTTGTGCATATATGTTAGATTAGTCAGTACTGAAGCCAAATCTGGAGCCTATCTAACAAAATAACTTACGATAACGATCCAAAAACTAGTACACTCAAATTTATGTTATAGAAAAATATTAAATAAAAATTTAAAAGTGAAAAAAAAAAATCAAGAATGGAAATATTTAGTTTTAATTTAATTGTCTTATCTTTAAATTTTTAAAAATGTTTGGTGACAAAATTGCTTATATTCATTGAGAAATGGATAAAATGTGTTGGGCTGTACTCAATTATGCTAAGCACTGTATACACCAGTGTACTTTAACTTTTTAGATACTTCTTATACGGGCTGTTGTAGTTTTGGGACATGGAGACACATTGGGAAACGCACTTCCAGAGCTTCGACTGAAGTCCAAGTTCACATCTACACTCCATGAGTTATATGCGTACAGGTTATTTGTTGTGCGTGCAATTGCAAAATGAAAGAGCACTCGTGACATTCAGGTCTGCCAAATGTAACATTCTTAAATGTGTCGGCAAATTCCTAATTGATTGATGGTGCACTCGCTGAATCAACAGCTACACGTTTCAACTTTATCCAATGGCAAGGAGAATCTCCTTAGTTTTGTGTTGGGATATATGAATATGCGCATCCTCATTGTAAATGAATAAACAAAGACGGCTAAATGGTCGTTTCTTCTGTTTGGTTGGGGTAAGTTCTAATTTTTGGTAATTTATTTTGACAGCATTTATGGAAACACTTACAGAGAATAGCCTATGTGTCTAGCAGACTTTAACTCTGCAGGACTCTCAAGTTAAAGTCTTGTTCGAAATGGAAAGGCACCCAGGTGCGTTAACGCGTGGTGATTCGTCAGTGCGTGTCAGAATTGATGAATGAAGGAACGCTTGAATAGAGCTCTCACCGAATCTGCTGTGGTCCTGTCTAGTCCCGTGCACCGTCCCGTTGGGAAATATCTCCAGCTGGAAGCCGGTGCGGCAGTAGAGCTGTCTCCTGCGCAGGATGCCTTTCAGGTGGCCAAAATCCGTGAGCGATCCGCGCTGCAGTCTGCCCTCAATCAGACCCAATCTT